ATTGACTTTAACTGGCAATTGTGAGTTTATATCGCAATTCTGACTTTATAACTAGCAATTGCCAGTTTATATCTCACAATTCTGAGAAAAAAAGTCAGAATTGCGAGATATAAACTCGCAATAGCGAGAAAAAAAGTCAGAATTGCGCGTTTTTATCTTGCAATTGTGACTTTTTAACTCGCAATTGTGAGTTTATATCACGCAATTGTGAGAAAAAAAGTCAGAATTCTGACTTTATATCTCGCAATTCTGACTTTATAACTCGCAATTGCGAGTTTATATCTCACAATTCTGTGAAAAAAAGTTGCAATTACCTTTTTTTATTTTTTATTCAGTGGCGGAAACGGGCTTCCATACAATTGCGAGTTTGTTTCTCGCAATTTTTACTTTTTTCTCAGAATCGTGAGATTTAAACTCGCAATTGCGAGTTATAAAGTCCAGAAAAAGTATAATTAATCAAAACAATACAGTCAAACTTAGTATAAAACACTAATGTTTATTAGTCATATAGTCAGGATTGAGTTTCACTTGAATTAATTAATAAGCTTTTTCATGCTGATATACTGTAGGAAAAAGAAACCTGCAAATGTAGGTCTATACACAGCATGCAGTAGGCTACAGTTATGTTGTCCATCAAATCCAAAACCGAATTCATGATAAGATCCACATTAATCTGATTTACAGAGTATAGTTAACACGAAAACAAAGCACAGGACATTAAAAAAGTACCTTGTGAAATTATTAAAATATATATTTTCTCAGACGAATAAATGTTTACAAATGAACTATACCAATTACACAACTGGATAGAAAATGACAGAAAGCTTTGCTGACAATGCTAGATGTCACATTGAAACTCTCTGAAAGCGTGGAGGGTGAGCCAGTCAGTGCGAGATACTTACATATGAAATAGTCAATTTACAGTCATACTTTTACTCTCCTTTTGGCATAAAAAAATGTGTGACTTGTCCTGAAATTAAGGTAAATGATGCTTTCTACAACTTTAAGTCACCACAAAACAATATACTGTACTCTACAAGTCACAAAATGATAATGCACAATTTCAGGTTTGTTGTGAGCTGACCTTTGCACTCCATTAGAAGATGCACTATTCTGCTCACTACAGTGTCACTGCTAAACCTACCACACAGATTCAGTTGTTCTTTAATGAAATGATGGCAAGGCGGCTGAAGAAATCAAAAGCTGTTCAGACCTGCTCAAGCAGTACATTTTCAATTTTGTAAGTTGTTCTTTTTTGTAAATCAGTGCAGTTGACCAAGTGTTCACAAGAAAGGAGAGTGCACAAGCCAAGCTGTTGTTTTTTTATTCTCTCCTTGACAAAATCTGTCCGCTCTGGGATCACTGAAGTGATTTCACCTATTGTTAACTGATCCCAGGTCATCTATTAGGGACAGACACTTTTACTCATGCTGTGCTTCCATAGGTGGTAATAAAGTAGACAGAGTTTCTATCCATATTCATATAGCATGTTGACACAGAGTAAATATTGCTGTTATTACCCACACACTTGATTACGATATCATAAACACATACTGTTTTCACAATCAGGATTTTAAAGAACAGCATTTACAAAACTGATCCGAGTGAAAACAGAGAGAAGGAATAGGTAGTCTGGCCTAACAGCTTCTGTAGACGATAGATGAGGATTTATGTTCAAATATAAACTGTACTTCACTTTAAACTATACTAGATGAACTATAATTAGTTTTATTTATTTTTTTTGGGTGAGAGAAACATGATTGTGATTCATATGGTTATTTGGGTTTATAAAATGAACGAATGCTTATCGTCACCTCGTTTTTATGAAAGGTCAAGAATGAACATGCCTCCTCTCAAGTGTTGCATTATTGAAGTGGTTCTTAACAGTACATTATTCTGAAGTAAGAGATTATTTAGCTTTTGCTATATCATGGAGCTTGCGCTTTGGTTGATTTTAATTAAATGAAATGTTATTTGTTAGCTTATAATATCTAAAGCAGGCCTCTCACCTCATTTCAGAGCAGTTTATGACCTAAAAACGTGCCCATGCCTGCTTATTTCATGCAACATATTAATATATTTTAAGCTATATGCTTACAGTTTCACTGTAGATGAAAAAAGAATTAGGCTCCAATGACAAAAACCCTCTTCTTTTTCACATTGGCAGCATCAATATTTTCAGACTACAGTTACAATGAAACATTTTTATGTTTACTAATAATATGTCACCTACTAGTTCACTTAAAGGCATTTGAAACTTAGGAAACAAAGGCTGTATACTATAAAATACTGTAAAGTAAGACAGCAAAGGTACATAATACAACAGCATGTTTACAAACAAAACAAAAAAACACCTTTACAAATTAAAATAGACGTACAAGCCTAGTTATTTGTGGATTATGACTGTATTATCAAGTTTGAATACTGCCAATAATCTACCCACAGTGGTTTAGCAAAAAAAAACCCCGAGCAGATAGAGAGATACCAATGGCTTTCAGTAGGAATGATTTTCCCTTATTTTGATTTCATAAAAGATTGTTTGTCTATAATTCAATCATCGGAATGCAGGACGTTAGTTACTTGACAAGGCACTATTTTTTTGCTAATGAGTTGCCGTCAAAGGGGCGGGACAGCAGTCTGGGTACTTCACAGAGAGAAGCACATACGAATAATGGAAGTAAACAGAGTGGGCGAGATTTTATCTTGAGGAGGAACAGAAAAAGAGGGGGAGATAGAATTAAAGATGTAACCAGTGGATTTAGGACTGCATCTCCGCACGGAGCATCCAGGGAAACCAGCAACAGAACAGCAACCTGCTATAACAGAAACGGATCATGAATGTAAAATGCTGTTTAATCTTGCATCACAGGATACATTATAGATTCACAGCTGCAGCCAAACAGATGTGTTATTTATGGGACAGAAGCATACCTGGATATGGAACTTTCAGATGTTATGTCTTTTGGAGAACGGATCGCATTAAAATTACGCTTCGGCTGAGACACTGTATAGGAGGATGAACACAGACAAATATTATAACCATGCAGCTGAGGCTGCCATGTGAGACTGTGTTGTTCATTCATATCGTATTATACATATTGTATAATAAATGTCATATATTTCTGTTCTTTGCTACATGCAATAATCCAGCTGAATTTTAAACTTTAGACGGGAAAAGTACTTATTGCTAATGCTATTACACATTATGGACAGTAGGTGTCACTGTATTCCTAACCAAGAAGATACACACAAGACGGAGCACTAACTGTGAGCTAATGTTGTTTATTCATACAAATGCACACACTCTGATTGTGAAGCAGTGTTGCTTTAAAAACAGGCAAAGAAAAGAAGAACATGCTCTTATCATTGTACTTACTAGTCACCTGGTGGACTTTCTTCACTAGTGTCCCATCACCCTGAGGATCTTTGGGCCCTGCAATTCTGCAAGATTAAAAAATCAGATTATACTGTTGATGCCTTTTTGGAGAATTAATCTGAACAACAAAATGATTTAAATATACATTTTACTAAATGTCTCTGTTTTTTACCTTATAATAGATGGTTTTACAAAGAATTCATAGCGTAGATGGTATTTTAGCACATTTAATTAGGCCTCAACCCCTAACATTGTTCTGGTACTTTTTCGTTATCCCTTCATAAACAGTGAAACATTACTGCAAATGTGTTTGCTACTCAGTAATAAAAGCTAAATGAAAGGCATGGTGTGCTCATATTCTATAACCAAAGCAGTAAAACATATCCCTATTTACTGTAACCCAAGTTGTGTATCTGCAAAACATTTTTCTTTCTGTTACATGTTGAAGATTTTACCTCTGAACACGGGATGGTGGTGCAAAAACCCCATATTTGGGCAGACAGTGGAAGTAACGCACTCCAAATACACTGCCATCATGCTTTCCAGTGGGCTGTTCCAACTCCACACCAAACCAATATCCTGATCAAAAGAATCCACACACACACACACAATTCTAAATACTTGCTGCACATTATTGTACTTATATGTGATTTCATATTAATTATAAGAGAAGTGTAAATTATCATGTCAGGCTTATTCTTATATCATTATATTATACCATTATCTCAGACCTTCGCTTAGACATACCAGGAGCAAAGTCTGTCTTGCCAAAAAAGCGGACAATCCCTTGCTTTTGGCCTGCCACCAACACCTGATCCCCAACTTCAACCTTGACTCCATCAGGATCCAAACTGACCCCGGACAAAGACTTCTTTCTTGGGGCTGGTGGAGAAGCAAATCATATGTGGAACTCAGATATACACTAGTCTTTTATGCACACCAAGGCTGCTTATATTCGATCGAAAATACAGTACAAAACTGTAATATAGTGAAATATTATTACAATTTAAAGGAACTGTTTTCTATTTTAATAGAAAATTCAGAATATTAGAATAATTTCTGAAGGATAATGTGTCACTGAAGACTGTATTAATGGCTGCTAAAAAAATCAGCTTTGTCATAAAAAAATGAATTAAATTTTATAATAAATTCAAATTGAAAATTGAATTGTAATAATATTACTGGTAATATTCAGGGGCACCGTAACGGCGGGAAGGTTAGGGCGATTTCATAGTGGTGCCCCTGTTAATATTACTGTTAATCAAATAAATGCAGCCTTGGTAAACATAACAGACTTACTTTAAGTGGTCACACATTAACTTGGGTCTAAACACTGATTCGATGACAATTTAATAGAAGATGAACACTGAACAAAACAGAATTCAAATCACACATATAAAACAGATAGTTGTTAGATATATAGATGTTATCACTCACTCTTTTCACGGTCTTTCTCTTTTTTCTCTTTCTTAATCTTGCCGGTTACACGAGACAAATCCATGCGAGGGGTTTTTGGCGTGGAGGTGACTGAAGAGGGGGTCTGCTCAAGAGCTTTGCTGATTTTTGACACAGGGGCGAAGATGCCTGAAGAATAGATGTGTACACCAAATATTAAACTCTAGAAATCAGATTATTTCATCCAAATACTGTAATCAGATCTGTTGTTATTACAGTAATTATAAAACGACTTTTCGAATACAGAAATGAAGAGAACACACCTTGTTTTGGGGGGCAGTTAAAATAGCGGATCCCACCCACACTCCCGTCGTTCTTGCCCTCCGGCTCGTCCAGCTCAATACCAACCCACTGCCCACTAGCAAACTCAGTGGTGCCACAGAAACGGAGGGTGCCAGCCTGCAGAAAAGAGGCATTGTGTTTTATTTATATATCCTATCTTCTCCTAGGTGCTCCAGACACTGCAAAGTCTATAAACACACAGACTCTCCTAATCTCACCTTTGTGTCGTCCAGCACCACACAGTCCCCTAGTTTGAGACCCAGGGAGGAAAGCATGAGGTTGCCGGGGATGTTGTCATAATTGGGCAGGGTGGCGCGGGGCAGGTTACAGCTGAGCGGCACTGCGTCCAGCAGCAACTGTTTCAGCTCTTTAGCCACCATGGCGGCCTCAGCTTTATCCAGACTCATGTCCATGGGGTCAGGAACAACCTCAGCAGGGTCTTGACCCTTATCATTCTGTAATATGCAGAGTTTATCTGTTAGTGATAGTCCAATCAGGCCACTATTTATAATTTTGAGATTACATTGCCTACTGGGTCGATAACAAAAGTCAGAGTGCAATTTTTCAGAATTTTTTAGTAAATATACACTATTGTTCAACAGTTTGGTGTCAATAAGTTATCAATAAGTGGGGTCAAAAAATGTGAAAGAAATGAAAACATTTTCAACAAGGATGCATAAATTTTATCAAAAGTGACAGTAAAGATATTTATAATGTTACAAAATTTTCTGTTTCAAATAAATGCTGTTCTTTTGAACTTTCTATTTATCGTAGAATCAGAATTTTTTTCCCCACAAAATAAATATTTGGCAGCAAAATAGTTTTTAACATCGATGATAAGAAATGTTTCTTAAGCCCCAATTCAGCATATCAGAATGATTTCTGATCATGTGACATTGTAGACTGGAGTAATGAGTGCTGAAAATTCAGCTTTGCCATCACAGGAGTAAATGACATTTCAAAATGTATTCAAATAGAAAATAGATATTTAAAATGTAATAATATTTCACAACATTATTATACTGTATTTTTATCAAATAAATGCAGCCATGGTTAGCCAAGAGACTTCCTTCAAAAACATTAGAAAATCTTACCAACCCCATTCAACTTTTGAATGGTAGAATATATTTGTGAATCTTATCTTATATATACAGTGTGTCCATTTAAAATTATCTGGATACTGATGATCTGGCTACTGAAGTATTCTGAAAACAGACCAACGAAGACATCTGAAACATTCATTCAAAATGAACGAAGCCAATTAGGCTGATTAGCTCAAGTGAAGTATAAATCATTATGCTCACTCTGACAGTAGGGTTGGCTCCATGCTCCAGCAGACATTTGACAGCACCGAGACAGAGGTTGGAGGCGGCGATGTGCAGGGCTGTGCCATGATAAAAGTCACTGCAGGTGGAGTTGAGCACTGTGTGGAGAGAAGAGCAACAGATATGTTGAAGGACACCTGACTTTATTAGTGGAATATGTAATGAGAGGCCAAATACTCATTAGCCACTTCATCATTTGCTTGTGCATGATACTTGACATTTTCTAAATGACTAAACTACTTCGCATTTTCTACCTCAGCTTGTGTGTGAGAATGTGGCTAGATTGTTTCAAAAAGCATCTGGGTTACTGAAAAGTTCAGATGCCGTCATGAATACAAACACTGTTTGCTTTGGAAATTCACCTTTAGGCTTGGAGGCTTTGAGCAGAACACGAATCAGTTCTGGCACATCGAAGTAAGCCGCATAATGGAGGGCGTTCATGTTGGTCCAACGACTGCGCAGACTCACATCAGCTCCCAGAGCTATCAGCTGACTGGACAGCCGGAGCGCTGCCTGAGGATCACCTGAAAGGAAAACACATGGTTAACTATAGCAACGGTCACGTGCTGCAGGCTAGATTTGCTTTAATTATGTTGGCAAGAGTGCAATGCACAGCAAGGTTAGAGCTATTAACAGAGTTAGAATTAGAAGTTGTTCAACTTTAATGACCTCAATTACAGAGAAATGTCAGATTTGGATTGTGGATTGCAAGGCAAGTCATGGCAAAGACCTCCAACCGTCAACTCCAGTGTCACTCACCCACTCCGTGAGCTCCTGCTTTGCAGCAGTAGTGGAGAAGAGTCATATCCGTCAGGCCGTCACGGTCATTCACATGGCAACCTCGCTTTAATATCTGAAAGTGACAGAGTTGATCAACATATGATGAACTTCCATGCAACTGGAAGCCGATTAATAACTAATGCAGACAATTACGGTCATGGCCACTTTCAAAGCTGGATGAGAGCTGTATTAGTGAGATGCACTCTAATGGTGAAAAATTAAGCCAATTAATATTGATGATATGTGATAGAAAGAAGCCTTATTGCTGAGTCATCCTTAACGTTACATTTTCTTAATATATAGCATCCATTTTGTGGAAAACTTGGAGCTGATATGCAGGAATCCCATTGAACAGAGTGCAGTATTATTGAAAATTAACACATGTCCATTTACACACCATGCCAAAAGACATCAAAAAGATTTGTGTGCAAGTAAAAAATATGAAAAATGCCATCTATCTCAAATTATGTATCTGAAATTATGTGTTAAAAATCTTCACAATTTTGATCCTCTACCTGTGATTTCCCTGCAGAAAAATATAACTCAAAATGTGGTTTTCTGTTTTTTCTCTGACACCAGTGAAACCAGCATAAAAGAGGTACAAGGCTAGTTTAAGCTAGTCTTGTTAGGAAGGTCATGAAAACATTTAACCTTCTGAAATTATGAAACCCTTTACTTTGATTACACATCACAAGTCAGACCCACAAGCCTGACCCACTGGTGGGCAGTGAGAGTTCTTCTTCACTGAGACCTGACAGGTGGAGCTGATTTAGGGCAGGACTCAATGTAGAGATCAGTCAAATGTAGGAGGCTTATTGCCACTGCCATCAATCCCTGCAGCTCCAGTTCCTCTAGGCGGTACACCTATCTACAGCAAGACACCTCCTTATCCATTACTCATACATCTTTACAACCACACTCAATGGTGTGCATATAAACATGAGTGTTTCCAAGTGCTTACAAAGACTTCAATTAATGTTAGTCAATTTGAATAAAAAATGTGTAAATGAACATTGTGACCCTTTCTCAGTCCAACATGTGTAAAATCAATTCAATCAGCTGACATTTATTTTCCTGTACTGCAATCAAATCACTTTGGCAAACGTTAATATAAAAGTTAATATAGAGCTTAAGGCAAATGTGACAATATAACATCAAGCATCTAAACTTTGCACTCCAGTGTGTAAATGATTAAAAAAAGAAAGATGAAAAAAAGAAAGCTGAGAAACATTTGGAAAAAAACTCTCACAAAGAGTGAAGAGGACAAAAGTCTTCAACAAGTTTAAACACAACCCATGGATTAGAAACCAGACTCTTTATCATCAGTTTATCAATTACACAAAAATACCCGCAGCTGGATAGAAATTCAATATGTCTCTACAAATGGCATTTATTCATGGTTCACTGTCTTCATTCATTAAAGGGATAGTTCCCCCATTCCACACAAAAAGTATTCTCGTAGCTTCATAAAATTATGGTTGAACCACTCATGTCACATGGACTATTTTAATGATGTCCTTACCTTTTTGGGCCTTGACCATGGTAGTTGCGTTGCTGTATATAAAGGGCCAGAAAGCTCTCAGATTTTATCAAAAATATCTTAATTAGGTTTCTGAAGATGAACGAAGGTCTTACAGGTTTGGAACAACATGAGGGTGAGTAATTAATGACAGAATTTTAATTTTTGGGTGAACTATCCCTTTAAGTAAAATAAATACGTTTTGTTAGTTGCCCACATATTCAGGATGTTTCCTGTCTATACTACTGACAACTCCAAAGAAATACTACCTCATTGCCTATGACGTCAATCTTGTGTTGAACTTGTGGAACCCATTGGCGGATAATGGCGAATAGTTCTGGGATTGTGGTCCGAGGGTCTGTCAGAATCTCCATGCAGGCCGGATCATTTGGATCAAAGAAGGTAAACGCTTTAATAGAATTAAACAAAATGCAGGATAATAAATACAGGGATTTATTACAACAGCCAATAAAATTACAACTACATTATGCTGTGGAATTTTATTAACTTGTAGCTCAGGATTTCTTCTTGTTCTCTGTAATATATTTAGGTAGATCTGACTGCTACAATGAGGAACCCACCATAGTCCTTGGGCAGTGGAGCCTGTGCAGATGGATGCACTATGGGTTTCATGCGGGGTTCATGAGCAGGGCTGATGAACTCAGAGGCCGGCTGGGCCTCTTCCACCTCAGAAGTTTCCTCTTTAGTCATTCTGCTTATGTGTTTGGGCCTGTACATTAAAAATGCATAGTTAAAAATAACAATACAGAGTGCAATTTCATAACTTTTATAGACATTGGATAGAACAGTGCTCATAAAATGTGTACAAGAAAATCAACCCAGCAATGATAACTGATTTATTTCTTGATTTTCATAATTTTGTCCACTAAAAATCACACTGGTTTGGTTCTCTTGGTTATTTTGGTCCACACCAAAAAAGAAAATGATACCTAGGTTTGCTTAGCGTTCACACTGTCATTTTTAATACCTAACCTAAAGATATAAAACAAAAGGCATAAAGATACAATCACAACCTAATTCGACAGCTTTTATGATTTTTTGTGAACTTACAGAACATCCAAATCAATGTTGTGTGCAAGCACACGCTCACTGCATATGTGTACATATGGTGGTATTTTATCCAGCTGATGAAGAGCTTATAAAATGTGTAAAGCATTCAAAACAATGCCATGATGCCTGTACTGAACTATAATGTGCAACATACAACCAGGTCACATCTTGTGACATCAGGTTCGCTAGATGTCTTTGGTCTATGTTGTTGCACTCATATACCAGTCAAACTGCACCAGAGATTTGAAAGCAGGTTTGAGTTAGGTGCTCACCGAGGTTTGGATGGCGGTGTTCATCCTTATTCAAATGAACTGCACTAACAGAGCAATTGCACCGGAGTTCATTTTAATCAAACCAAAGCAGCCACCTGTAAACACACCCTAAAGGAACCGAGCCTTCATTGACACTCTCAATATTCTTTTTGTTTGATCACTGCTCAAAAACACAAGTGAGTATACATGATATGAGATGTATGATCATGAACCTCTACGCCACAGTCATTCCTCCCAGTGAGACTCTAAGTTTAGTACGGAGTCTGGCGGAGAGGATGAGTGACTCACTGCTTCCAGCACTGTCTGTTGGAACAGAGGAGAGACTGGACCTCACAAGCCACTGCACCATCTTACTGGAGATCCATGCTGAATATAAGTCATTGCAATTTACTTTGATGTCTTAGATTCCCGTAACTGTATTCTGCTCAATCAGCCATCAAAATAACATTCAGGGAATTAACCAGAGAATGCTAGACTTAGCCCAACACTACAGTATATGTCCTACAGTACATTGCTTTATCTTTATCTTTTGGAAGTTACCCCAAATATTTGGAAAGCAGACCATGACATGTAGTATTTTGCATGCAACTGATATATTTTATGGTTTTTAACATCAGTATGCCTGCAATCTATGTGGCCAAAGATAATATTGAAAATACACTGCATTTCAAGCTCATGTTATTTAGAGAAAAAACCACTGATCCATTGGAATAAACTTAACTACCACTGACGTATAATAAAATCAAAATACTTATTAATGGGGTACCTTCAAAAGTCCATTAATCATGTTCTTATATGATAGATTTTACTCCTCCACTGAGTTTAGATTTTGTTCTGTAAAAAACTATTTTCTATGATTAATTTATCAGATCTTATTAGAGCCTTTATTGTGATTCCTTATTGCCTATTTCACGAAATGCTTAGACATTCTGATCTATTCTGAATACTATTTCATCTAAAGCAAAGATCAAAGTGAATATGAGCTTCAATATCACTTGCTCTTTTTAATAATATATTATGTATACCTTCAAAGGTTTTTAATTGCTTCTGGAATAAGCTCACACATTAGCTGTTTGTGGTAGTGCTTGCCTTTTAATGTCCTTCTATTGCATCAGACTGCGGGAGACAGGATGGTGTTTATTCACTATAAAGATGTCAATTTAACAAATAGACCACATGGTAACAGATTTTGCCTCTTGTAATGATAACTGACACTTCAATCAGATTTCAAAACTTTTTGAAAATGCTTGGAAAGGAGAATTTCCATAATGGCTGCAAGGTTAAGATTTAAAGTTTGTTCTACTGCAAAAATGGAAAATAGGTCTACCAAGACAATAAAATGCAAGCACATAATAATATTTCATAACAGTCAAGTATATATAAACTGCAAATTATGCTAATATCTGTGTACAGTTGAATCGTTAATTTTATAGAAAAAATGGAATAATACATTATTTAAAAGATTAATATAATTTAAAGATATCTAAACTGCTTGACTGCTGAATATTTCATTTGTATTTTACTCCTGGGTGTAAAAAAAAAAAAGGGGCGTAATTCAGAAATGGGTCGTGCACAAATGAAATCGGCACAGTCTTCAATCCCTCAACATTATTGATTAAATCGTCGATAAATAAATCAAAATGATCTCAAATCTGTATCTCGCGTCGAAATATATAAAAACAGCCGCAGTGTGTTCTCGTATTGCCTTATTAAGCATGTCAGTCTTGCCCTGTGTCAACAAGAAAACATGGACGCTCCGTCACGCAGCACATGAAAAACAAGCAGGCTGTTTTTCTCACGCGGAAAAACAAGATGGCCAGCTATATATTCAGATACTTGATACAGCGAAATTATAGCCTTCTTACCTGATAACAAGCCTCAAAATCGCGATTTCTCTTCCACTCTTTTGTCAGTCGTTGTTGTGCTATGGAGGATGGAGAGGATGCTGCGCCTTGTCCTTCTCTCTGCCTGCGTCACGGCTGTGACTCACGGCTGGACCACTCTCCTCTCCGCATCTCCTCAACCGAACTTGATGCTCATTCTAGAACCTGCTACTTGAGGCTTAAACGTTTTTCCCCTCACAGTTGTTAAAAGACACCTGAGCATTTCAAATACGAATGCAATATATGGATCATTTATACAATGACTTTAATGGTTGGGTCGGAATTTCTGTCAGTAAACCTAGGGAAGAAATCAGTTAAAACGATTGTCTTTGGTGTCTCTATAAGCACAGCAAACCTTCAGTTATCTTAATTTTTTAAACAACACGCTAAAACTTTGAATTACATATTTGCGATATGTAAATCTACAATTAAGTAATGAATAACGACAGTCCTGTTTTGTCGAGAAACTGTAAAGGAAAAAATGCTCAAAGTTAGTTTATCCAACTATATTCAATGATGAACTGCCTTTAACTGAAAAATGAATGTTTACTATTGTCATTTTGCATTATTGACACACTATTTCCTAATTAATGCTGTTCAGTTGCTTTGACACAATATGTATTGTTAAAAGCGCTATATAAATAAAGGTGACTTGACTTGACTTGATTATTTAGCCCAATGGTTTTGTAAAAGGTTAACATTTTATGAGTAGCATATCAACATTTGATTTGAAGCCAAGTTTTTGATTTGTTTTTTCAGAAGGGCAAGAGTCCAAACTCATACCAAATGCCCTGAACAGAACTGACATATTCTAAAAGTCATATCTTTACATAGGGGCATATTTCAGAATTAAGAAACATTTTCTCTACAGTGTATCAGAAAGAACATATTGCTATATATATACAGCTACTCTGTATAATAGCCTGCACTGTTGAGTTGTTGCATTAACAATTTGCAATAACTCTTTAAAAATGCATACCATGCTAATTTAATATAATACCAAAGCTGTTTTCAGACTAATTCCTGTTGCTCAGTAGAACACTGTGCTATTTTCTAAATCTTTCGTTGTGGGCTTGGCTAAAACAGAAATTTCCTGCAAAACATCAACAGACTTTATAGCGTTCGTGTGTTTTTGTAAATAGTAACAGACAGTAGTTGACAGCATGTCATTGCACCAGAGCAGACACTGTCTTCACCTCATTCCTGTTATTGCTATGTCGTCAGTCTTGTGAATTTTGGATATAAGATGGATATAACATTGACACTGACAAATGTATTATACGTTGTCACAGCTGGCTTGGTGCTGTTATTGCTGTGGAAGAGTCAAAGAAAGCAGAGCAGCATTGGGCAGCTGCCTCCAGGACCAACTCCATATCCACTGCTGGGAAATATACTTCAAATTGATGTCAAGGAGCCATACAAGTATTACCTAAAGGTCAGTATTTAATATACAATAACTCTGTTATATAATTAGCAACTGTTTCTGCTTGGATGGTTGTTGGGATATGCATTTTAACTCATTAGGTTGGAAAAAAATCATTATATCAATTAATTAATTAATTAATTAATTACCCAGAAAATTTTTTAATGTAGGTGAGATTCTCAATATTTCTCGCCAGAGAGGATTAAAGATGCAATTTATAGGGCTGAATATTATACAAAGGCTCCCTTTACTGCTGTCGTTCAAAGATGAATTGTGCTTTTGCTTTTTTGCCCTCTGACTTGCTGACTAAAGCACATTATAACTCATACTATATCTGTACCACTTATAAATATGTATACATTTGCATAAAGATTATTCATGGTTATTCATCAGTTCTTGCTGTTCTTCCCTTAGCTGAGTAAGAAGTATGGCTCTGTATTCACCATCTGGTTGGCAAACAGTCCTGTGGTGATCATTTCTGGATATCAAGCCCTAAAGGATACTATGATTGGTCTTGGTGAAGAATTCAGCGGCAGGGCCACCTATCCCCTGTTGATGAAGATCACACTTGGATATGGTAGGTTCTCTAGAGTCTAGACCATTGTTAATCATTACACTTTAATTAGTATTTTTGGGAGTTGGAGAGAGCAGGGAGTTGGGAAAACCATTTTTGTTTAACATAAGACTAGAAATGTTGTTAACATTGTCTCAGGGGTTCTGTCCACCAGTGGACACCATTGGAAGGAGATGCGCAGGTTCACTCTTATGACGCTGAAGTACTTTGGAATGGTCCGCAGGAGCATTGAGGAACGGGTCAGGGAGGAGGCTGAGAAACTTGTGGAAATGTTTAAAAAATGTAAAGGTAAAATAATTTAATATTCTTTGCATGTCCTCTCTTATATTCGGCTTATCAGTTGACATAAACTGAAAACTCTTGATCTTAGTACCTTGATCTTATGTTATTTTCTCTTCAAAGGCTCTGCTTTCAGCCCTGCAGATATGCTGTCTAATACCATGGCCAATGTGATCTGCAGCATTGTCTTTGGGCAAAGGTTTGAATTTGAGGATCCACAGTTTAAGTTTCTCCTTCAGACAGTAAATTCTGTCTTCACTGTCCTCAATAGCCCTATTGGACAGGTATTGTACTCCAAGAAGTTTTTATTTTCATGTATATTTTGTACACACTCTTAAAAATAAAGGTTAAGAGAGTTTTTCCCCAAAATAACCTTCCTATGAACAGTTCTTAGAAAACCTTTTTTTTCACTATAAAGAACCTTTTGTGGAATGGAACTTTTTAGAGTGTAGTAAAACAAATAGGAGTGAAACAAATAGCCCCGCAACAGCAAATTTGTTTAGCTAAATCTGAATTAAATTTGTTATAATATTTTGGTTTTGTAAGTCAGCTGAATATTCCATGCATAAACAGCTTTATTTTCTTTCTTTATAGATCTATAATGTATTTTCTAAGCTAGTCAGCCTCTTTCCTGGTAAACACCACCTGCTGTTTAGAGACGTAGACAAGGCCAGAGAGTACTGTAAACGTCAGGCCAAGGCACGGATAAATAATGTGGACCCCTCGTGCCCACAGGACTTAATTGATGCCTTTGTGCTAAAAATTCAAGAGGTAAAAATAAATGGAAACATATTTATCCTTTTTCCTGACAACAAACAGGCCCATTTAAATATTTGCTCATATTCTGCTTTTGAGACTGTGGGATAATTTTTGTATTAATTATTAATCACAGGAGAAATACAATCCTGACACAGAATATCATTTTGACAACTTGATTTCTCTGGTATGGAACTTGTTCAGTGCCGGCACAGAAACCACTTCATCCACCGTCAGACACGCTTTGCTTCTGATGATGAAGCACCCAGACGTTCAAGGTGAGATCAAACAAATGTCTTCTCTCTCCAAGCCTCAAGCAGAATCCAGAGTGTTTTTACTTTCACTTGTTCTGTACAGAGCGTGTTCAGAAGGAAATCGATGAGGTGGTAGGACAAGACCGTTGGTCCTCAGTAGAGGACAGACAAAACCTGCCGTATACAGATGCGGTAATCCACGAGATTCAGCGCAATATGGATCTCGCCCCCATCGCTGTCCCGCACAAGATGATGTGTGACACTGAATACAATGGTTATGTCATTCCTAAGGTATTCTTCTTATGTATTTACATGATCTTTATTAAATACTGTAACTATGTATTATTATTTATGTCTGTCTATTTGTTTTCTAGGGGGTCATGGTTTTCCCACTGCTATCCTCTATGCTTATAGACCCGAAAATGTGGAAGAACCCAGATTGCTTTGATCCAGAGAACTTCTTGGATGCAGATGGTCGATTTCAGAAAAACGATGCATTTGTTGTATTTGGCATGGGTGCGTTTAGAACTTCATTGTGCATATTAGACCATAAAAATGTTGTGCTTTATATGAAAACTAACCCTTAGGGGTGGGCGATATACTGGTAGGCACGATTAACCGGTAGAAATTTGTCAACCAGTGGAGATCATCTCTATCGCCATTACATGCCCACGTGACTTTGCTGTGCAATTTGGTCACGACAACTTTTTAAGCATTGCGGTTTAAAAACAAAGCGAATTTAATAGTGAGTAAGATAACTCATTTCACTATAAGCGTGCGCTGTCAGAGAGGTGCGTGCATGTGAGTGAGGGAGTATTGAACAGAGTTATTTTTGCCACTTCATAGGCTTTGAACGGTTAAATACACACATTTTGAACGTGTCAAAATGCCGTCATTTGCAAGTATCTTTATAAACACAGTAATTTAGGTTTTAAGTGAAAACAAACAGCTGAGAAAGAAAACACATGTGTAACAGTATATTGGATCCAGGCAGCTCTTAAAGTGACAGCAGTCTAATATTCCTCCTGTCTGTCATTAATGTTAATCAAACAACAAAAGAGAGAAAATCTCACTGCTTTGGACTAAATAACTTTTTTAACTTTAATAATAAGAAATATATATTTAATTTACACAGTGAAGAATATGCAGTGTTTTTATACATTCAATTACTTTTTACAATATATGTGGCATTTCTTGTTTATTTTTTACTGTAGTTTTTTTTTGTCCTATTGCTTGTAATTAGTTTCTTATTCTTATTTAATTGCTGACTGTTTACATGTCTTCAGTGAGCTTGAGGTTTTTATTTTATTTTATTTTATTACATTTTTTTTTTATTTAGGCTATTATTAGCTTTTTGTGATTTTGACACTGGTGACAAGAATTATGAAATTTCTATGGTATCAAAAAATTTGATATCATAAAGACCTTATTTAAAGCAAAAATAACTATATAGTGATATATATCACTACCATGAAATAAAATTACTCATATCGTGATATAACATTTTGGCCATCTCGCCCACCCTAGAAGCCCGGTTTAGCCATGGAATTAAAAAAGGTAATTGCAACTTTTTCTTCAGAATTGCAGAACATAAACACAGAATTTTGTGAATTCTGACTTTTTCTTGCAATTCCAAGTTTACATCTCACAATTCCGTTTTTTTGTTTCCAAAAAGCAAAGTAATTGTGACTTTTTGCCCCCAATTTTTTTTTTTTTTCATTTTGTGATTTTCGGTGGAAGAAACAGGATTCCATAGAAAACTGAATAATTATGTTTCTCACTGTTTTAATACTAGGACAAAAATAACCATGTTAAATCAGTTAATCCTTTAAAGGGCAAATCACAGACAATAAAATGGCTGATACATGGAGAATAATTTCTGTCTGCTCTCTTGACAGGCAAGCGTGCGTGTCTTGGTGAGGCTCTGGCTCGTATAGAGCTCTTTATCTTCTTCACGTACCTCCTTCAGCACTTCACCTTCAAAGCCACTGTGCCACTAGAGGAACTCGACACAGCACCAACAAAGTGCAGTTTTGGCCGCATGCCCCGCACATACGACTGCTATGCCATTCCCAGGAAATAGAGGAACATGCCCAAAATGAACAAAGAAAACATTCATCTTATTCTCATTTCAGTTTGATGCTTTAATGGAAATAAATATGTCCAAAATGATATTATTGCACAAGTGTGTGTGTTTTTTTTTTGTGGCAAATACAACATTGATATTTAGCATACACGTTCCTGTCCTCAAGGAGTCTAGCCGGTTAACCCACTTTTTGCAGATCTGAAACACAATATTAGGTGTCCTAACATGACATTTGTGGAATGTTTTGAAGGACATAAATGACTATTTTAAAAGTCAAAAAATATTGGCACTTCTAACAACTGTTTAACATTTAAGTCGGCACAGTGCTTTTAGTTTTTCACACTTAAGTGCCATTCACACAGAATTCATACTTGCATTTAAAAACACAAGATGCAGGGTAGTGCAATGAGAGAGAAAAAAGCCCTCTAGTCTACAGATTTTTCCCATTTCACTGCCCTGCATCTCACGTTTTAAACTCTGTTCTCTGTGAATGGTATATTATTCTGTAATATGTAGATGATTACTGGGCAAAACATGAGTGAAAGACGTGTGATAAATAACTATGTACTGTATGTTTAACAACAGTGGCTTCATGAGACAAACCTTACCACATTACAACAAAGACATCCTACCAATATTTTTGACAAATTCATGCATGACCACAGACTCTTAGCACCAGGTTAATGCCATTCAAATGTGATAAAAGATTTCTTCAGGAGACGAACACAACTCTACAACACATCTGTGCAGTTCTCACTGCATCCACTAGGTGGCTTTAGTTGTCAACGGAGCCGTGGAATAACCTCAAGCCTTTGTGAAACCACCTCCACTTGATGGATACAATTGAATTTAGATACAACATAATCTATTGTCTAAATCACAGTGAAAGCTCAGGTACAATATAGATATCACTATGATTTCTGCACTCTTCTAATTATGTTCACAGAAAAAGAATGTCCAGGCGAAGTAACAAACAAAGGCGGCGTACAGTGTAAGAATTGATATTAGTCCTTAGTGAGTGGTTAAAAAATGAGGGCATACTCTGATTTAAACCATCATAAAGTTTTGGAAACAAACAGTTTCTATGTTTAATATTGTTGTTACTGTTGCCTATTAACTAAAATACCTAGTAATCCACTCTATTGTAGACATACAGTTCACAGTTGGGTTCTGTCATGGCACTAAATGAAAGGAGATTAGGCCATCGAGTGGAATGCAGAAGCATAATGTCTTACCTGTGGACTTTGAACAGATAATCCTCATGCAATCAAAATATAAATGACTTTGTGGTAAAGTAGGCAGTCTTTGAGTTGATCCACAATGTTGGCACATAACAGAATGAATCTAGAGTCCAAAATGAGGTATAGTGGTAAACCAGAAAAAAACAAATAAAGAGGGTTGCCAGGTGTAATGTGAGAAACGTGATGTGATAATATCCTTTTGATAGTTAAAAACAATGAGACACTCCATGATATCTGGCTTTGTTTGTCCAGTCCACATGGTTCAACAGTAGCTCTCAGAAAACGTCACTGCTCCCTCTCCGGCGCACTGGGGTAATGCTGGCACATCCAGCCCGTTCAGAACCTGCTTTCGGGCAGAGATGTAGCAGTACGCCTTGCCTTTCTTTGCTCCGGGATGGTAGTGATGCTGAACAGCCGGTTGGGTGGCTGTGGGCGTTGGGTCCGAGGACAGTTGGCTGCCACTGTCCAGAGGGCAGTCTGGAGAGCAGGCAGGGTCGTGGTGACACCGAGGACCTGCACCTCCCTGCTGTGTGTTGCTACCTGTATTACGTTGGTCCTCCAAAATGCTTATACCCAATTTCCATCGCTGCCATTTCTTTTTTATTTCTGATTGTACCTGGAATCAAAGACAGGATATGTCAGGGTTATTCTAAACTAAAATCATAAAAAACACATTCAATACTAAATAAATAAAAAATAAAATATTAAAACATTGTTCCTTTAGTTTGTTGAAGTACTAAAATAACTAAAGCTAAATAAACTACAACTAAAAACTAAAACGTAATACAAACTATATAGACAGATTATTGCAATTTAAAATAAGGGGTTTCTATAATTAATATACTTTAAAATATTATTTATTTCTATTTTCATCAGTCATCACTACATTCTCCAGTCTTCAGTGTCACATGATCCTTTAGAAATGTTTTATCATTAAAAACAGTTGTCGCTTAATATTTTTTGGAACCTATGATACTTTTTCAGGATTCTTTTGATGAATAAAAATCATACAGCATTTATTACAAATAGAAATATTTTCTAACAACAGAAGTCTTCTCTGTCACTTTTTATCAATTCAACACATCCTTGCTGAATAAAAGTATTAATTTTTTTTTTTTAAAAGAAAGAAAAAAATTTACTGACCCCAAACTTTTGAACAGGACTATATATTACTACAAAAGATTTCTATTTTAAATAAATGCTGTTCTTTTAAACATTTTATTCACCAAAGAATCCTGAAAATAGTATTTCAGGTTCCAAAAAATATTATGCACCACAACTGTTTCCATCATTGATAATAAAGCAGCATATTAGAACAAAATGCATGTTATTGTTTATTTAGGACTGACCTGAATAAGATATTTCACATAAAAGATGTTTACATATAGTCTACAAGAGAAAATATTAGCTGAATTTATAAAAATGACCCTGTTCAAAAGTTTACATACACTTGATTCTTAATATTGTGTTGTTACCTGAATGATCCACAGCTGTGTTTTTTTGTTTAGTGATAGTTGTTCATGAGTCCCTTGTTTGTTCTGAACAGTTAAACTGCCTGCTGTTCTTCAGAAAAATCCTTCAGGTCCCACAAATTCTTTGTTTTTCCAGCATTTTTGTGTGTTTTAACCCTTTCCAACAATGACTGTATGATTTTGAGATCCATCTTTTCACACTGAGGGCAACCGAGGGACTCATATGCAACTATTACAGATGGTTCAAATGCTCACTGATGCTCCAGAAGAAAAAACCAAGGGACTCATGAACAACTATCACTAAACAAAAAAAAAACACAGCTGTGGATCATTCAGATCATTCACACAATATTAAAATTCAACTATTATTTTCTCTTGTGGACTATATGTAAACATCTTTTATGTGAAATATCTTATTCAGGTCAGTACTATATAAACAATAACATGCATTTTGTATGATCCCTCTTATTTTGGTAAAATAATTAACGTTTTGCAGATTTACAGGTGTATATAGAGGCGTCATGCCCATTCAAAGTGAGGGGGGCACGTGCCCCCTCAGATTTCTGAGCCAAGTGAATTTTAAAATGCAGCTTCCAAAAGACAAAAAATAGTAGAATAATATTTTTTATATTTGATACAATCACACCGGTGTGATTAGAGCGTTCAGTGCGGCACATCATCAGCTGCTAAATTCAAATCTGCGTTCGCTGAGCCAGAGACAGACGCGTTTGTACAGCACTGCATTATATCCAATCACACACGATTCTGTTGAGCTTATGAATGCAATGGCCAATCAGAGGCGTTCAGATGAGTCATCGCTGAAACGTGGTGTTTTGTTCACTTGCTGGCTGACTGAATTATAAACAACAAAGCGCAGATGTGCGTACGAATGTAAGTAAGATATTAATTTCACAGTGAAACAGCTTCAGTGATTTTAATGGGAGTTTGAGAGTGCCTGAACTCTGGCTAGACTGAATGAAAATGTTCTTTGCTCTCTGTAAAATGAAAGTGTTATAATTAGTAACTTACAATATTGTAATTAAATTCACATTAAATACAAAGTCAGTCATATTAAAAATATTTTATGGCATGACACCCATATGTGTAGTTAATAGATTACACTATTAGTCCCCATCAGCCCCATCAGCATTTATTGATCAAATAAAAATCTATAAAGGTGCAAAATGCATTTACTTACACATATTTGAGAATCGAGATATTTCCTGGAATAGTTAACACGTTTGGAAATGTTTTGAATAAAAAGGAAAAAAATAAATAAAACATAAGCCTATATCAGTTATAGAGTGCTATCATGGCTGCTGTGTGTCACATGACAACCATGACCCCGCCCCCATGTGCCCCCTCAAAAATCATGATTGCATGACGCCCCTGTATACTTATATATATAATTCAAACATAATTAAAAATTGTTTAAAATTATGTATATTTAAAAATAATAGATTAATAATTACAATAGATTCATCTTACCTCTTTATTGACAAAGCAGTATAATATGGCCACCAGAAAACCCTGTGGGGCAACAGGAACTGTTGTGTCAAAATGCATTAATTGTAAGGACATTCACTACATTCTAATAGCGCATGGTAAACAAAAAAGTAAGCACACTGTATGAACTAGGCCATGTTGTGACACAGTCTGTCTCTCTTGATTCCCTTAGTTGTACCTGAAAAGAATTGAAGAAGAGTTCAAAGAACAGGTTGACATTGCGAAGCACGCCCTCAGTCTGTTCCTCTGCCATCACAGCAAACACCACCTCATGAATCCCTAACAGGGGGATGAGGGTCAGCGTGGACTTGGCTAACCTGAGGGACCAAGAATATTAAAGACTCAGATTATTCAAAACACAATCCAGCCCATTTCACCTCAAAATGTCATCAACTTTTCTTTAAAACCAAATTTAATATCAGGGTTCATTTCTTACTTTTTTTTTTTTTTTAGAAAGAATGTATTTTTTATATTAATTCTTTCAGATAAAAAACCCAAACAAACAAAAAAAAATCTCAATCTTTTAGGGTTTTTAAAAGTTTTAAGGGAGATTTCACAGGCAGATTAAGTGACAACAGTGAGGCACTGTGGTTAAATCAAGAATCTAACTGGCCCCTATCATTGTTACCAATGTATTGTCAGATTTCAATCCACATTTTATTCCATTACGCATAAACAGGATATAAGCTTGAAGGCTAGAAATATAGTCTCTGGTGAGAAAAAAAAAGCTCCTTAAAATGCATGCTACCCTCAAGGCTGACATTTGAAGAAGAGAATGAAATATTTCCTTTAAAAAAGGTTGAAACATCAAAAGCTTGCTATAGGGCACTTTATGTGACACATTTCCATTTTACGTAACATGGATGAATTCATACAGAAATTTTGCAAACACCAATAGATTAAGTAAATCTGAAAAATAAACAGACAGATACTGATGAAAATAATATAAATTCATTTGTCGAAAACAGTCAAATTCTTACCTAAATTTATAATCTGTATATCTCATCTGATGTGCTTTTAATTTGGAGACGAGGATCTGAATAATCCTTATAAATATAAAAAAGTTCACCTGCAAAACATGGTCATAACTCTTTTTAAATATAAATAGTTATACATAGAAAGTTCAGTGTAAAGATACACAAGACTTCTCATCCTGTGTAATGAAGGAAAATGCATACATTATTCCAACATAATAATAAATGTTGGAGTGTGGCGGATCGGCGGCCACAATAATAGTGCACTAAAACAGTTCCTCAACACAATCCTCAAGAATGCTCCAGACTAATGAGTCATCCATGTATAATACATGAACGAGAGTATATTTAACTGGTTATTCATACGCTGTGTTCCAGACGACTCGGAACTTGGAATTCTCCGATCTCTTACTCAAAAATAACCACTGGAACAAAGTCTGGGCAGATCCACATTGATGTTCCATTGGTTGCTTTCAAATGGAAGTGGCAGAATTCCACGTTCTGAGTTATCTGTAAGCATATGTGAGTGACTATCAATACAGTCAGAGAACAAATTCAAATTTAAAACAAATTGAGGTAAAGACTCACTAAAATCGCCAAAAGGATTGGCGTTCGGATGATCCACCAATATGCCATATTTTCGTTGATCTCCCAGCACCTTGAGAAATGTGCAGGCACATTTGTAATACTTAAGCAAAGCTGCTCTTAATCTTTAACCAAATGAAAGAAAGCAGTTGCATCAAGACTTTTGGCACGTCTTACCTGGTGTTCTCATAAAGGTAACGAACAACTATCCAAGGCACCACAAAGAGCACAGGTGTTCCTGTTAGAAAAAAAAGATGAAATACAAAACAGCACAGCAAGATGGAAATATCTGTATTTAATTCAATATTTCACATGCTAATATTTTAAATTAGAATATTATAATATTTTAATTAAGTTTTACACTTTCATTTTCATGACAATTGTTCCAAAAAAAAAAAAAAAGGTGTATGCATATTACACACCCCAGCCGATGAAGAGGTATACACAGAAGTAGCTGTTCTCTGAGAAGACCATCACCACCAGCAGGTTGTGAAGATATAGACCTTCTACCAGTAGCCAAT